TTATACTTTCTTACTAGTTACTTTACTTAATAAGATTATTACTCGTTAGTCTATTTAATATAGATTAGTAGTTGTTAAACCTTTATTACCTTCTATTTAAGCACACTACTCCACTGTATTGCCAGACAAACTCTCACGGAACACTAGCGTAATACTCGCCTGCCTTAGTGCGGACTAGGACAGAGAAGTATAGATCCCAACCCCGTGTAACATTACACCGTCTATATCGCCTTTAAGATAGTTTACCCTCTTTAGCGCGTTTCTACTTCTTTAACTTCTTCCTATTACTACGCGCACTAAAGTCCTAGAGAGTAGCTAAGCGCTCTCTATCTTTAACTATTAAGGTCCTCTCTACCTAAACTTATTTTCTTTTATACGATTTTCGTCGCGTAGCGGCTGCGTTAGCTACTTTAAGCTTAGTAATCTACTTTTACGCTAATACTAGCTTATACGCGATAATAGCTACCCCCTTTAAGACCTTTTTAAAGGCCTCTACTATAGATATTAGTAAACTATCTATATACCTTTAAATCCTTTACTTTACTAGCGTTAATTACGACCCTAATTCTAGAGTATTACTAGGGGTTTACGATACCTAGAGCTAGTTATAGATAGATAGGGGTAATAGAGTGCGTAACTAAATATTAAGGGCGGATATAACCTATTCAAGATTAAATAGGACTAATCTAGCGCCTTAAAAGCCTTCTTAGACATTACTAGCCGTAAATAATATGTTAAAAGCCTGCTTAAAGTAAGAAAGAAACTCTTATTTTATAATGTAACTAATGTAGGTGTGTAACTACTAGTGAAGCAAAATCTTACACGTTAAGCAATAGAGCTAGAAGAATAACTAGTCATTATATGTACCAGTTTATAAGCTAATTAGGAATATTACTAAAAGCATTTCAGGCACTGTCTTGATATTTTGTTGGTTTAAGGCTAAGAAAATAGCTGATGCCTACTTATCATTAATGCAAGAAAGTACCTCGCAACATAACCTACCACATCGTCACCCTAACCATCTATCTATTCCACTAGGAATTGATCCTCTCTAGTCGAAAGCAAAACGTCTAAAGCTAGAAATAACCCCTATCTAGCTTACGATGAGGGTGGAGGAATTGCAAGTTTAACACAGGCAACTTGCCCACCACCTTTGCAAGGCTGGAGCAGGCCTGGAGTTCCGGAGGCACCTGTATCGTAGTTCGGAGAATCGACTGTCCATTTGAAATTGGCTCGACGGCCACAGCTCTTAAACAGCTGCCCTGTGCACTAGTAGTAGAGGTCAGAATCCAATTATTTACAGCGCATTTTCTTAAGCATGGTGATCTTACGCAAGCAGGTTCGTAGAAACTGTAGTTGCAATTTATCTTTGGGACATTTTCGGTTGGTTTCATGCAACAGTGGACATCGGCGAGAGTTACTGGGGCGAGAGCCATTGCAAGGCTAATCAAAGTAGCGACGTACTTCATATTGGCAGCGAGATAGTAATAGATGATTGTTGATAATTATGGTAGCTACTGTCTAACTGCCTACAGTGACACAATTATAGATAAGTAACTGTTGAGTTATTTCCACAAGACACATACCGTAAAAGCAAAAGGAATTTAGATGCGAGTAGGTCTTAAAGTTCCTATTAATTACTACTGAGTCTCTCTGGTGATCAGAGGGGTTTATATACATAGCGCTGACTAAGAATAAGCAGAAGAGAAGAAGGGCCGGAGGAAAGTATGTAAAGTGGACACTAGCGGGTAGTATTGCTCTGTCATTTTCATTGCTAAAACAAATGAAGGGTCGCCTCTAATTGCAAAAAACCCAATCGTGCCTGCCGCCACCCTCCACTGTTACTGCAGAGGCAGAGCCAGTTCTTTAAGCTTGACAACGACAAGAAGGTTCTACAGTAAGCGAATTCAGTCTTACTAGGCGAGGCTGGGGTCGGGAATTTCGATGGACTCGAAGAAACACAGTTGATGCGCCGGCATGTCCGACTACTGGGCGTCTAAAGCTGCCGTCACCAACATTGTCGAGGGCCTGCAGACGGAGCTGAAGCATCAGCAGGGCAACCTTGCCATTGCCGTCAGCGCGCTATACCCCGCCACCATAGCTACCAGGATGTTCTGTGATCTTTGTGCGCCTAATTCGTTCTTCATGCCTGTGTTTAAACCGGAAGACGGGGCCCAGAGAATGTTTGACATGGTTGCTTCGGGCCAAATGTAAGCGTTCATCTAATCCTCGTAAGCCCCGGCATAGCACTTATTGAGCTGATATCCTGTCATGTAGTGAGCTGGCCTTCATGCCAGCTGCCTCGAACGTAAGTACAACCTTGAGTCCGAGTGCTGCCCACGTGGATGCGCATGGCTATGCAAGATGTGGGAGGTCATGTGGCGGATAACATGGGAGGAATAGCGTAATGCGCTCTTTTCCGTTAGCTGGCCATGGCCATGTTATGTCGCCAGGAGAGAGGGCTGACCGGTCATCATAGCGTCTACGAGAAGAGAGATGGAGTTGGGCTGGGCGGGCGCGGACGGCTTGGCCAGGTGGAACGTGTTATTGTAGCTATAGAAGATGTCACGGAGCAGCCTGTCCTGGCTGGACTGAAACTGTGCGCGGAGACTGTGGGCAAGGCCTCGCGATATAGCGCGCTGTATTGGATTTTAGGAAGGTTCTTAACAACCCAAAGCAGTCGATGGTGGTACCTATGCGTTATTTGAGGCGTGGGGCCTATACTATTGTGCCGTGCATAGGTGCCTTCAGTTTCCCAGTGTAGGATACCTTTTCATACGGCGCTTTACGAACGACTAAAACGGTTGGCAATTTCGGCAATCTAACAACCACCTTCCGCCTGGGCGAAGCTATACATATGTTGAACATCAGACAATTCATCTTTACGCGTGCGATCATACGAAACTTCGATACCAAGCCCCCTCGCACTAGTGGAGTTACGAGGCGTTGAAGATAATTTTGACCTGTTTGACCTGTAGGTAGTGGGTCGGTCTGTGCCTTGCTACAACAAACCATTGTTCTCTGATTTGTAGCTGTACGTAGCAGGCTAATTCCACCACATCTTTAACAATAATCTATAATTATAAAGTTGAATAAGCGAAATGTTTCAACAGGATCTGTTAGGTCATCCTATATTCTGGAGGCCATGTATGTTTTGGTTAGCGCAGCCCCGAAGCGAGATTGCTACAGTAAATAGTACTAGGTAAGGTTGGGTCTTACGCGAGATGGACATCCCGTAACCTACACGTTACTTCCATCCAAATAAGCCACTTTGAACTAAGAAACCCAGTGCTTCGCCATGTCTAAAGACAACGCATCACAGTTCGATCCTAACGAATGCGCCCTCTTGCACAATCAATTGGTGCAGCGGCGTAAGAAAGTCAACCCATCTATCCAGCCGCTACAAGGCGTCATAACGCGCAGTGCAGACCACTCATTAAGAACCCGTCTCTCGCCTCATATTCGGACATTTCTTGCTAATATCGAGTCCTGGCCCGTTGAAGGAGAGTCTACAGCCCTAACATCATTCTGCCAGCCTCCTAGCTCCCAGTCCTTGTTCCAATACCGCTCATGGCCTCAATTCTCCACCTACGATGATCAGCTCATTCTTCTCTACCAAGACGCCTCCCTCACCACGGAAAATGAGGGTGGCTTGTTTTTCGATCAAGAGTGTGGATTGGCATGCTGGATCGACCCATCACTTGACTTCCCGCCCGAGGACTCATGGCTACCTCTCTCGGACATCTTATCGCGCTGGCTGATAATGTGGGATGCGGGAAAGATGCGGGTAGAACCGGAGTTGTCCTTGCAGCCATGGGGCCAGTGGGACTTACGACAGTCGCTGAAAGCCTGGGATGAGCTTGTAACTGCCATTGAAGAACGGATGCCGGTCCAACCTGAGCAGAGAAGTGGTACTACGACTCTTATCGAGACGGCCGTGGGGGAACGGTGGTGCGATCACCCGTTTCAACGTGCATTTCTGACACAAGCGCGCGCGCCGAACAATCCCACTATGAACATTGCCCCAGGAGTCAGACCATGGACTTCCTCTACATTCGAAGCGATCCACGCCAATGAACCCATCAACAGTGAACGCAAACTTGCCATCGGTAACAAACCAAGCGACAATGCCCAACGTGAGTGCCATTGCAATCGCAACCTCGCTCCCGTACTGCTGTTTCCCAGTGATACGAATATGGCACGCCCAACCAGTCGTAGATTCGATAACTTTTGGGGCCGCAGATCGGTACTGCTTGAGCGGAGGAAGGGGTTGTATCTTTACCCTGAGGTGGAGTGGGGCAATGCGGTACTATTTGTTCATGGCAAAAAGTAGGACACGTCGTTTACTTATCAGAATGCGTGGTGTCCCTGGATGCGCGAACGGCCGTTGGCCACTTTGAGGGAGGTACTAACGTTTTGGAAGTTTTTGGTCGTTGATGGTGTGTGGCGGGTTGATGAACATGGTGTTGTGGGGGTTGAAGGGTATTTTGACGAGCTTGACGGTAGCAGGAAGGTGGTGGAGTTGGGGGGAACGCAGACAGAGGTCGATTTTCGGGCACCTTGGAGCGCAGCACCAGCTTACTGACAGAATGCTCAATATCGGACGACTAAATCTCATGTATTCTGGGATTCTCTCTACTTCTATATAGGCTCTGCGGATTGGATCCGTCGATTATGGATGAGCTGTAGTGCTCGCCGTAGCTGCAACCGGGTTTTCTATTGGCTGTGCTTCACGGATCATGGTACACTCGAGGGCGTTCGGATCTACATGCCGTTAACACATTCGCACTATCTCTGGAGACGATGAATCACTGTTCATACTATCTATATGTAACTCACTCAAATGAGTACGCTGCGCTGCAAAATCCCAACACACCGGGATACCATGCTCGTCCCCACGCTTCTTCAACCACTGCGCGCTCGTAATACTCGTCAGCTGTGGTTGCTGATCACGCTGGTTCGGCCCACGGGCAAGGTGTACACTGCGTAGCACTGGTTATGATAATTACTAGAATCGAACTAACATCAGAGTTAGGGCTGGTTCTAAGTCTGCAATATGCTAGGAAGAAACTACCGTTCCACGTTTTGATACTATTATAAGTCCATGTTTTTCCCTTAATTTATCGAGATTAATAAACCACGAGCAGAGACGTAAAAAAGGAGGGAGAATATAGGGCGGGAGAAACCTTCTAAACGTTTAACTTGTGATGGTGAAGGGGTTTGCTGTGTTCTGTTTAGGTAGTAGATAAGGCCTGTAGAAATGGCAGGCGTCTATGTTACCTTTATGTAAATTGCGATAACTGAATATGCATCCTGCACTGTAGATTCTGTGCTTTAAACTGATTTATTGGCTGTTTAGATGGCTACGCTAAAAGGTGTCGCGCTGGTAGGCGGCACCACGGGACCGTTGTGGAATATGTAGACTTAGCGACAAAGTCTGTGGTATCTAGTTAGGTAAGCCAGACTTTAGATTGATAAGAGGGTAGTAAATAGGTAGTAAGTGGGTCTATGCTTGGTCCATGCGGTGGGTGAATTTGAATCTAAGGGCCACTGCTCCGTTCTTTTTACGATTGATGACATCTGGGCCGTCATGCTGCTAAAAGCGCGGTTGGGACGGGCATGCACAGATGGCCATGGGAATAGAAGATACGGTGAAATTTCTGGAAGAATGACATCCAGGTCTTCGAAAAAGCTTAGAAACGGCTGTTCTGAGGTGTCAACATCGGTACGCGGCTGGACCACTAGACGTTGAGCGTCTACTTCCCTTATATTGTGTAAACACCATCATAACCTATCGTAGCCTTTTTTGTGCTCCAGGCGCATACTTGTTAATAAGCAAGGTCACCCGCCGTTTAACTCGCGAACATGCCACAGTGTGCTTCGTGACACTGTACTTGCACGTCCCGATCTATGGTGTGTTCGCGAATTTAACTGCTGATTAAGGACCTGTTTGTTCGTGCTCGAGTTCTAGCTCAGTTCAGTTTGGCTAAACTAGAAGCAGTGAACTGAGTATTGTGTTAACTATGCAAGCTATTTATCCGTTTAGTAGATGCGCTGCTGAGCGTTGTGTTGGTAGTGTCTCGGTTGCAGTACTGGTTCAGGAGATAATAAATGAAATGCTTCATTGATCAGTTCGAGAATAAGGACATGATTGGCTGAGCGCATTATAAGTGCAGGTGGATCTGTAGAAGGCATAACAGAAGCGATCGCCACCACTACGTTGTAGCAATCAAGAAGTATATAGGCTGTGTTCAAATCTGCACCTTCTTTTACCTCTAGCTTCCAACTATTCGTGTTTTATGCTCTAAAAGCGAGGTTGTTATAATTATAGCGCCGCCACATCTCACATTTTGCTGCTGCTCTAGTTCTAGTGCAGGAAGTCTAGACAGTGGGAAAAATGTTTAATCCTCTAGGACCGCAGTTCCACTTCGCACGCAGGAACCTTTTCGAGAGTTTGAAGCTCGCAGTAAGCTTTATGTAACCATTCTAGCTGCGTTCGTGTCTACAACCATTATTCCCTACGAGTATTTCACTTCGCATTAAGTAGGCCTCTAGATAGCGAAGGTGCATAATAAATCGAAGTTTGGTATTAAGGGTGTCCAGCCCGCCTATATTGCTCGCACATTCAATTTTACCGACATGTCATCGTAAACGGTGAACCACTGTGAGCGCAGCTTGAAGGGTTAGTCCTTATGTATAAATTCCGCATCAAATTGGCGTAGAAACTGACCGACAAACTTGTGCAGTTCAACAAGGGCAAGATTGCGGCCGATACAGGTGAGGTCCTGGAGCCGTAACTAAACTGTCGCTCTATCATCAGCAAAGTTTAGGAAATGTAGCGTGGAGAAGCTCACCGCGAAGTTGTAATTGTCCATTTCCTTGATCTGTTCGGCTGTGGAGCCAGTTTCGCCCTTCAGCCATCTTGTTAGCCTCTAGACATCTGCGTCATCACCAAAAACCTTCTTGAGATAATTTTGCGAGATTGGGATCGAGCTTATTATTGTTCTATCTGCAATTTAATGACCAGCGAGGACAATTCCGTCCTTGGGAATTTCCCGGGGCAATTGCCACACGATGCTTGGAGTGAGCCTTGTGGCCTCCTTAATACAGGCATTGAGGAAGGGAATCTTCTCAGCCACGCAATATATAAGACTGCTAGCTGTGGTTAAGCCGTTTTCTATATATGCATTATCAACCTCTCTCTGAAAGCGTTGGTAGTCTTCTGGATGCTACAACAGTTTCGTAAAGACAGTGATAATGCCCGCCGCTGTAGTGTCTGCTCCTGCTCTAATAAGATTGCAAGCTTCGATAAAGACGCCTAGCATTGGGACAGGAGAACCATCAAGCTCTTTCACAGAGATATACACATCAAGCATATCCCTATTCCGATTCGTAGGATTGCCAGCATCTTCCTCCGCCATTCTAGTAGTTACAAGACTAGCTATGGAGCCGTAGAAGTGATCCTGCGACAGAATGCTTTTCGGTCCGATATATTTCAAAATGTTCCTCGATACAGGGTCAGTGAACTAACTCGTTTGTCCCGGTATATACCCCATGATAGCTTGCCGATAGAAGAGACCATGGATGGACTCGGTAATGCGGTTGATATCTGTTGCCTGTTCAACGAATCCAAAGGATTGTCTAATACTAAGCTGTGTTATAATATTAAATGCGAAATAGCTCGTCCATTTTTGCATATCGATTGTGATGTTGTTTTTGGCATAATTATGGAGCTTTTCCCACAACTGATCCGCTACAATTTGGATCTGCGGCTCTAGTCCTAGAATTATTAACATGGATTATGCATTTGAAACCCGTTTGCGCAGAAATGCATGCTCGTTTATATCGGTCGCGATGAAAAAGTTACATAGATTAGTGATTGCCATGTACAGCTAAGCATAAGATATTCCTACCCCTGTTGACGCACCTAGCGCCTCTTATATATAATACCACGCGGTCTGCTAGTGAATCAGCACACTAAAATCCAAGTAAATAGGAGAGCACATAACCTTCCTTCTTCGTTCCGGATGAGTGGCCGTAGATCTTGGTGAAACCCGCCTTATCCATGAAGGCGACCTCGTTAGGTGCCACTCGCACAATTAGCCTATACTTTCGGTGAAGCTCCAAAATATCGTTATACCAGTTACCCTTTAGATATTTTGTTACTCTCCACAACTCAGTTAATCTACCTGCGAAAGGACCTGGAATCTTGCGGAGCGGATAGAAATAGATTAAATACACTACCTGAAAAATTAGAAAGACGACGATGAAAATTCTGAAAAGGTAAACGTCCAGGCTACGCAATGCTTGAGCCACTACCGGCTGAGTGATCTTGTTCTCTATAGTTTATGACCTTGGTATCGCTTACTGATTGATGGATACGAGGATCTTCCTGATACTGAAAATCGTAGAATGGTACGTCTAGTGCATCTGTGCCACCTTGGCATAGGATGATATAGAGAAAGCCCCTAATACATAGTATAAATAGATTAGTAGAAAAGAAACGCATGTGGAGTAGTGGGGGAAGTGGGGGAAATATAATGTAGGGTAAGCACATCTCCGTATCAATCTCGAGCTCTGAGTAATTTGGACGGCTAGAAATAAAATGATCTATAATTATAACAGCTCATGACATTTATGTACAGTGTATGGCTACGATTTATAGGAAATATGTTATTGACGTTGTTAGCCATGAGTGACTAAAGAACGTTGAAACACTTCATCTAGATTTATGACTAGCGCTTGTAATGCGCGATGGCGCGCAGCCACCACTGTTACTGCAATGCCTATGTGAGCTTGAACAAGGGAGGAAGGATGTGGGCTTAGATGGCGCCAGGCGTTTTGATATCAGAAAGTTCTTTCATCACGCCGTATATCTCTCGAATATCGTCGCGATCCTATACTATACTGGCTGGATGTCGGGCGAGCAAAGCGCCCGGAGTAAAGTTCGTACCCGCACCGGCACCTCCCTCACATATATGCTCGCGAGACCTACAGACATTATGTTGCGCCTAAAGTGTATGTGTATGTTGTTCTAGTTAGTATTGTCAGTTAGAATGTCATGAACCAGCTACTTAGCATCGAACGACGAACTTGAGCGAAATGTCTAAGAGGCCTTAGGTGTTAGCAACTTGTACACTATGGCCCACAACTTCCGCCACTTGGGTGTATAGCTTGTGAAGACGAAATATTTCCCTCCAGAAAGGAGGTCAGACACGACCGGCAAAGGACTATGACTGGACGCAGTTGTAAGCTGCTTGTTGAGGATGTCGCGTCTAGCTGTTAGGCTGTTGAGGAAAATCCGGTTTTCATAGCCTATCCGTATCTTGAACAATTTAATATACTGCTATGGCCACTTAATGATCTTATGACTTGGATACGGGCTGAATTGCAGTGTATTTTTTAACAACGGAAGGCCGCTACGCCTAGGGACTGAGAACAGCCCCTTAGGTACCGGCCGTCGGCGAAGAGAATGCTAGCTTAGCAGCCAGCCAACGAGGCCAAAAATACCGAGTAGGGAGAAATAGAGCATGCTGTTTTTGAAACGTGAGTGCAACGCCTACGGAATAAACCCTGCAATGTGTACATGCAGTGATTGTAGCGAAGTTCTTATGAATAGTTACTTATGTGTTCGATGTGGGGTATAGTGGAGCGATTGATAACCAATTATGTGGAGTGACCTAAGTAGGGAAGGAATCTGACGAGAGGCCCATTGTGGCCGTTCTAAAGACTACCTACGTAATCGTGCAGCAACAGGACGCACTCGAAATTCATTGATTCTGTCTAACGGATGCGTGGTATGTCGTTTATAAACTAGGCGGCTAAGTGTCTAAGAAGTTGTGATAGCAATAACATGACTTGGTAACTACTACTGACATGATATTGCCAAGTTTGGCTATGTAAGATTAATGTCTGCAGTCGCTATTAATCCTTGTATGACAAAATGGATAACATGAATCTAGTGGCTAGTTTAATTAGAGAATGTCTCCTATGCATACAGAGCACTTAACGTTTAGATAAATACATAGAATAGATATAAAGTATCGTCACTTAAGTCTATGAACGCAGTCCACTACTTGTACATCTTGTCCTGTTTCTCGGCCTCGTCCATAATAGCAATGCTTAGATCCGCCGCCGAGATGCCGTGTAGACGACCTTGCAGTCCGGTTTGGCCGTATTAGGGTTCTTTTAGAGTTAGCTCATCAAACACGACCTTAGAAGTACTAATAGGCTTTCCAGATCGGTAGAGTGCCGATGGCGAAACATAGCTCCATCTAAACGACACGTTACCGTCGAAGAACATAAAGCTAGTGCGGCATGCCGTTGCAAAGGTCAGAGAGCGGTCGATTTTAATAAAAGCATCTTCAAATGCTGCAGCAAAAGCACGCGCATTAGCATTATGACACGCTGTTGGTAGAGCTTCTACGCCCCAGCTACACGAGCTACCCGATCCAGCACCCACGCTTGCCCTTGCTGTAGCTGCGATCGCGATAGGTAGCACACGCCACGCTGCCGGATGGACAAGTCGTCTTGTATCTCAGCTAGCCTAGTCGTCGGCCGATGCTCCTGCTCGCTTATCTATAGCAGCTCTTCCTATAGCACCCGTTCTGCCTTAGCGACGACTCCCTGCGTAAACTCGCGGAACTGCTATAGTACAATAGGCCGGCCTTTAATATAGAACGTCTATTAATCTATTAATTACTATATACTACTAGTAATAACGTACCTTACGGGTTCGTCGGACACACGGGTTCGCCGGACACTTTTGCTAAGCCCTTACCAAAACCACTACCCCACCCTAATATCGCAATAACCATAGCAGATAGAGCCCTCTAGTAAATTCTAGATATAGCTTACTCTTTAGACTCTTAAATAAGACGTAAATCTCTCTCTATAACGCACTATAGCTATCTTTAACGTTACTTAGTTAATACTAAGTAACTAACGTGTAGGATAGACTCTATAAGAAGATTATTAGCCTAAAATAATAAATCTAACTAAGCTTAAGAAGAAGATAGTTATTAAGTATATACTTAACCTTAATCTACGTAGATTTCNCTCTANACTTATAAATATAGCTAATATAGCTAATTCTTTACGCGCTAAGCGTAATTTAGACTAAATTAGCTAAAACTAGCTTAGTACGTTTATTAAGCGCTACTTTAAGCTTAAAGTAAAGTTTAATTATAAGTACGACTATAAGAGAGCCCTTTATAAGAAT